ACTATTGTTCCTAGTATACTGAGATTAGCATGTACATTTTCTAAGCCTCTGTTGCATCATTATCAACTTATCCTTGGTTATAAAGTTATTTATGCCATGTCTTATCTCTTTTCTGGACTACCAGCTTGCTGAGGGGATTCAACAAATATTTATGGAGTTAACATAAAAACTCCCAAAGCTTTTACTTTGTGAAAATAATTAGACGTTTGGAACTAAAGTGAGTATGTATTTTTTAGAGAAAAGTGAAGCAAGGCTGAATCTTACCTAGTCTTTTCCATTATAGCCAATTGAGCTCTGAAATACATTAGATTAAACCATTAAATAACAGTGACTATAATGCAATTACATTTGACCTCTTCTCAGCAGGATCAAACCAAAAACACAGTTAGGCACAACTGAAGTTCAAGAAAAGGCTCTTAATAAAATGAGAGTACTGACTTATTCCTTGAGGCTCTTTCTGGCTGTGGACTTAAAACCCATAGAATTAGAATACAAGCTGCCAAAGAATACCTTATTATAGTCAGAGAAGATTTGGGATAGGTGAATACCTTTAATTTTAAGAGAGTAAATGACACAGAAGGTGGAATAAATTACCTTGACGTAAATTCTTGGCTCAAGCAAAAGTCAGACAGCAGCTGGAATTTCAATGTTTGGGATAACTCCTAAGGGATAAACTTTAACTTGTATTGAACTTTAATCATAATGGCTTTATGATTATGATTTTTTTTTATACAGAGATGAAAAGGTGAAGAAAGTGTTAAAATGACTAAGCAAAAGTATACAAGGCCTGGTTCCTGTACTGGAAGGACTGATTCCCTTAACTGTGGTAAATATAAATACGTCTGTGAGCTATGTGATTTTTTTCCTTATTGAAATTTACCCCTTGCTTAACTCAGTTGACTTCGCCCAGCAATACATGCAGTCCATTTGGCCTGGAGGAACTTGATGAAGAGGAAATGTGAAAATGCCTACAAGATCATGATGGTTTTTTTAGAGTCTACATAAATGAATGAAATTATGGGTATGGCTAGCACTTAAGAAAAATGTGCTTAGCAGCAAAGTATTGAAAAGGAAATTGGAGTTACTAGAAGGTTGATAAAGATAAATAAATCTAAAGTCATTTGTCTTCACCATCAGTACTATCAATTTCTAAAAGCAAAACCAAAAAAAAAAAAAAAATAAGAAACACCCTAAATTTGAGTCTCTATGTAGCTACTAATGTCTGCATTGACCAGTTTTCATAATTCTCTCATAAGAAAATAACAACCAGACTACTTTAACCCTAAAAAGTGTGCATCACCAGCTCCAGGACAGCCACCTTAGAACAGGATCCATCTCCCTCCCTTCTCTGCTCTCTCTCTCTCTTTTCCTCCTCCTCTCCTCCCTAAGACAGGTTAGGGACTATTCCAAACATGTTCTATAACATTGACCATGTACACAATCAAGAGATCTAAGAGCAGGGTTGTTAGATCATTTAAGAGCAGCAGAGACAGTATTTCTAGAGAAGGGAACACTTCAGTATCCATAGTACCCCTAAAATTACACATTGTATGTGTACATCTACTCCAATTGCCCATGGGGCCAGCCTTAGTAGCATATACTCGCTTTCTAGGTTTAAATAGAATTTTCTTAATTTTTCAACTTAATGTAGAGTGAGTCAGTACAGGAACATTTTATTTATTTTATTTTATTTTTTTTAAGATTTTATTTATTTATTTGACAGAGAGAGAATTAGTGAGAGCAGGAACACAAGCAGGAAGAGTGGGAGAGGGAGAAGCAGGCTTCCCGCCGAGCAGGGAGCCCGATGTGGGGCTCGATCCCAGGACCCTGGGATCATGACCTGAGCCGAAGGCAGATGCTTAACGGCTGAGCCACCCAGGTGCCCCAGCACAGGAACACTTTAATTAGATACAACGAAATGATATGATCCTTACAGTCTATGCTGGTTATTAAGATGGTCCCTGTAATCGAGGTGGGGAGTGTTACTGACCATAAGATAGTGCATATTCACTACAGAGTTTCAAAAAGGGCAGTTCAGTTCATTTTTAGGTATATCTTAGCTAAAAAAAAAATGTTAAGACTATCTTTGTTAGAAGTATTTTATTTAATGGGATAAAAAAGCAAAACTTGGGACTTATGTCATGGTGTCAATACATTTCATTAATAAGGTTTTCCAAATCTCAACTGTGATTTGGGCTACTTTTGAGAATGTAGCAACATTTTATAAGGGAAGTACTTTATCCCAAGGGGAAAAATCAAATTATAGTTTAAAAAACTCATTACCAATAATTAATAATGAACTTTAGCTAAACAATAACAGGTGTTCTACTAATCCCAAACAGAAACAGATGGAAGCACAAATGTTTTATAAATACTGGATACATGCAGAACAATAAACTTGGCAGGAATTGTTTTATTCTCTAATTGTCAGTCAGAGTTAAAGTCTTATCACTTGCATTTTCTCTAAATTAATATGCCCAAGTAAATCTTGTGTCTCAGTCCTTATTTTTCAAAACGCAGACCATATTTAGTGCTTTCTTACTCCATCTTACGTATTGTCTCACCAAGAAAGGTAATATAAATATTCTTTCTTGTACACCTATGAAGTTTCATAGAATTTGTTACATGAAACAATAGGCTTACCATACAGGTTTCCCTTCTCCTCCCACCCCCTGAAATGCTGAAATACAGTATTTCTCCAGAAATACTGATTACGTATTCTTTAATTTCTTAGACATTATAGCAATAAGCCAGCAAAATCATGATTATAGGTAGATGAAATAAATTAGGAAGGCAATTAAAAAGGTAATAAATGATATTAAGAAATCTAATCCTATAGCACTTGGGAATGATTTCCAGGAGTTAGAATATTGGATAATGCTACAGGACCGAACTCATGCTACTTAAAAAATGTTCACATAGGACTTTAGAAGAGCTCTCCCTGTATGGTTAATAGCAGAATTATCCTTAACTCGTGCAGAGATGGTTTCACTGTTCCTTCTGATCTTGATCTGTTGTTGAATTTTTGGACAGAAATCATTAGCTTTGTGACTATTAAACTCTTAGCATCCCTCACTGACTTTGACAATGTATGGTTCTCTCTGTCCTGTGAGTATCTTAGAACTTGTATCTTATGATCAATTAGTAGCTATATGAATAATTTGGGGGGCACAAAGAGCACATTATTTTCCTCAAACAAGGGAATTTAAAAGCTCATGCTCATTAGAATATAGATTCATATTGCATGTAAGTAAACAATTGATCTCTTCAAAGCAAAATATGTGTAGAATATAACTTTCTTTTTTTTTAAAGATTTTATTTATTTATTCATGAGAGACAGAGGGAGAGAGAGAGAGAGAGAGAGAGAAGCAGAGGGAGAAGCAGGCTCCCAAGGAGCAGGGAGCCCGATTCAGGACTCGATCCCAGGAGCCTGGGATCATGACCTGAGCTGAAGGCAGATGCTTAACCATCTGAGCCACCCAGGCGCCCTAGAATATAACTTTCTTAAACCATCACAGTTAAATTGGTCAGCAAATCTGTTAACTAAAATTGACTTAATGATGTATATAGACTGAGAGTCATCAATGTTGTTTCTTTCATGTGGGGTGTTCACCCAGACAGGCTGTGCTATATTGAATGATTTAAAGAATAAAGTTTTAATAGTATTTTGCGCATCTACTTAGATGCTTTGTCAACAAATTTGCAAGGTTGTTACTGTGACCTCAATGTAAAGACACTGATGATCATGTGGAGTTCAATGATTTGCTGAAGGGCCAATGCCTGAAAAGGTTGGGGTCAAGGATTATATCTGGATGTACATCTAAAGGCCTCTCTTTTCACCATACTAAACTACTTTCCTTAATGTTTCCATCTAATTTTACTATGATACTATACACATACGTTAACAATCATTTTTACCAAGTGAGTCATCACCCAAGTGAGTCACCATATTTTTCAGGGTTTTCCCTCTCGTTTCAGCTTCTAACTCAGTAAGAGAGTAAAAAAAGAAGAGTAAAAAGATTAAGAAAATGAAGAAGAGGAGGAGGGGTGGAAATTGAATAAGTTACTAGAATTAACTAAATTTTCTAGAGAGCCAAAATTCTCATGATCTTCAAATTTTCTAGGACCTAGATGTGTTATATACTTGTTTTAAATATGATATGCCCATTTGCCAATAGGTGCATAAATGTAATTATACATTTTGGAGAGATTTCCATAAAAATAGCTTAAAGCCAAAGTATAGTTTGCTTTAAACAATCAGCCTCAATTATTCTAATGTAAATTAGCTCCTTCTTTAACAATACCATCTTCTTAGAATTGTTTCCCCAAACAACATAGTACTATCAGTCTTTAAATCTGCAAAAGACCTAGTACAAGCAATCAAGTTATTCATTATTAATTAAGATATTAGTAAAGAATCCCTTGTTACACTGGGCAATAATAAAAGAGATATGATAGATAAATTGCTTTCAGTAAAAATATTTCTCCATATGTTGACTATTAACTCCAAGGTTGACTATCTCCATCAATAGTAGATCTCTGGAATGGCTAACCCTCACTCATGTGAGAGAGAAAAAAAATTTTTTGAAACAAATTAAGTATTTGAATTGTGATGGATTTAATATGAATATTTTTCACTATTAAAAAAAAGAATACTTTTATTGTTATAGGGCTTATAAGTTTACCAGAAATAAAATAAGATGATTCACCTCTTCACTCCAAGATATTATTAAAGATATTAGCATTTTTTGTATATAAAGATATTAGCATTTTTTTAGCTTTCAACCGACTTCATTTGCAATAGGCCATGCAGTAATAGACAGTAAAATTAAAGGCCCTAATGCCAGTTATTACTTCTATTTTTTATTGGTTTTATTCTAGACCTACACATGCAATATGCAGTTTTTTTAAATGAAAATACAGTTTAGTACATAAAAAAGCCAACAATCTTAGAAACGAAGACGATTAAAACAGACAAGTACAAAAATTGTTTGGAATACCTGGTTTTAAATCCCCATGGACAAACATGTCAATCATATATCGACAGAATGCATACTGATCTGACAGAGTAGAAAGAAAAAGAGCAATGAAAAAATGTCATCAACACCTTTTTTTTTCCTAAGGAGAAATGGCTTAACAAAACAAACAAAATAGCACAATTCTATTTTACTTACTATAGTATTCTCTGTGAAGAAATAATTTGCACTCATATGAACACACAGGGGAAGAAAAACATAATAAATATAAGGTTTAAATGTAATTTAAAAATGCTCAAAAAATATAAGGTTTGATTTATTCCATACAAAAAAAATAACCTTAAAAAACTGAAACAGACTAGTTCAGGGTAATATCATACAGTTGTTTTTTCTTAATCAAAACATTTTTCATCAAATTCATTATAAAAGTCATCATATTAAAGCAATTTTTCTCATTGTTCATATATACACTTCCAATAATCAAACAGAAGTTGTACAAGAGGAAATTATTTCCAAGTTGGAACATTTACCAATTATTCATTCGAAGCCCTTCTGCTAATTGTCTAAATGGAGCTGAGGACTTTTTCTTGAAAAGGCAAGCAGGGAGGCTAACTCCTTTGCAATGTGTTAGGGTTTCTGCATGGAAATGCTGTTCAATTAGAAGAGTATGTGCAGACTTTCAGCATCACATGATATCATTGTTAAGCTAATTAACTGAGTACTCTTCACTTAAGATATCTTATGATCTTGACTAGTCTATGGTCTATGGAAAAAGTTAAAAAAAAGGATTTGAACATTTTGGGCAAACTTGGTCAAATTATTTCAGAGTTCTTTTTTTTTTTTCCTTTCCCCTCTAAGTTAAAGACATCGCAGTGAACTTTAAATTCTCACATAACTTTAGATTCTGCGGAGGTCATTCCAACCCAAATTTCAGTTGGTGAATTATTCCATAAGTTTTTACCAGATCTTTAAAGCTTGCAAATTATGAAATTAATCTTGTTCAAGATGATTTACATTTTAATGTTTCTAAATAGGCATTTTATTAATCTAACAAATCCAAAGGCAGCTTTAGGACCTCTTTATTCAATTTACACAACATGACACACCCTTAAATTATATCTATCAAACATGTGAAATAATAAAACTTGTTACTATATAATAAACACACATACAATGATTTTTATAAACGTTATTCTTTTTAAAGTATTAACAGTATTTTTAGAGTAATCCATTTTATTATGAAACTCTGCCAGGCCTTTGAAAAAATAAATGTAGTTATTGAAGTAAATGTTAAAATATAATCCTTTTCATTAGTACCTAAATATGAGTAAGCCAAAACTTATGAAGTTTCAAAAATTTGCATGTGTGTTGCTTCTTGAATTACAGCACATTTTCCCACAGATGAAGTGGGAAGTTGGAGGGAGGCTAGTCCTCAGTTCAAGTCCAGGAATCTATTTGTTCCTGGATATACTAGGTAACAGCCAGGATTTCTAAAACCAGGACACAGGAACCCTAAGGCACAGGAGAGAATTAAGATTAACATAAAGAGCATTTTCTCTTTTCTGGACCTAACTGTTTTCCTGAGCAAAATTCTAGACTAGGAGATTTGGATCAAACATGCAGCAAAATGAAAAAGTGTATTTCCCTTACATGGCAAATTTGAGGTTGAGCAAGGGAAGACTTCCTGAAATTTTTAAGCTTTCCCCTTTGTTTCAGTACTTTAAGTGACTATATTCTTTTTAGATTTGTCCTTCCTACAATTCAGAAGTAGTTTCAAAGGGCAATTCAAATACCAAAAAGATGGGGAATGTATTATGCTTCCATGGGTCTAAATCCTAGAATATGCATTTTTAACAGACTCTTCAGAAGGTCTAATTAAACTATCTTCCAGAATCATTGATCTAAAATCCCTCAGTTTTTTGTTTCTTTCACCATGATTCCTAGTGACACTATAGCTTTCAGCAGCAGCAACACAGAATCTGTGTGTGTGAGAGGTTGAGAATGCAGGGACTACTTGGAATTTGAAGGGTTTGGGCAATCCCCCAAAATGAAATAATGCTCTCTGCCCCAAATGGTGATGGCATATTTATGCACATAACATGTGGAATAGTATATTGAATTAACTAAAATCTTCATGCTTCGGAGGTTTTTCTTTAACTGAATTCTGACAGTGTAATGAAACTCTTTAGCCTCTATGTTAGATTATTACCAAGGTAAAATGTATTTATTATACCAATATTTTCTGGCTCCACAAGTTATTCATTTAATTAATGCACCAATAATCCTATTTGCCTTCAATTTAAGAAAGAAAATCCTTTATTAATTCAAAAAATATTTAGTTTTTTAATCTAGAAAATTGTTTGGGTTACAATTCTTAAGATGTTTCTGTTTTATTTGAGTGACGTTATGATGTTGCATTCTCATGGCACCAACAGGAAAATGAGAGTATTTTTACAATATTTTAAATTAAGAATTTTCAAATATTTTAAATTAGATGCCCATTTCCATGTGTCCTGAGTGTTGACCTTAACAATGTGCAAGAATTCTAGGCAAGTATATGTTGGGCAATGCCCAGTGGGTCTGCTTCTCCTGTCTAAGGATAAAGCAAAACCAAGCCTTCCTGATTTGGAAGATTCATTTCATAGAAATGCTTCTTTAAATGCAACTCAAACATTAAACTAGAAAAATTTTCCTAAAGAAAATATGAACTGTTTTATTATGCTAACCTTCATAGTTTTGTGATAATCATTCATATAATTTCATATTTGGTCACCACTTCTTAATTTTTTTTTCCCCCAATTGAACATCTTCTATGAATAACACATGCTGACCATTTCTCTCCTCTTCAAGGAGCAGGGACGGATGCCATTCCGCTGCTGCCTTGTCCATGTCCCCTGTGGAGTGGCAGCTGAGGGAAAATGCATTCTGGGTGCAGAATGTCAACAGAATTATGAGCATGGGGCATGTGTAGTCTGCTGCTCTACAGTAACTTCATATTAGCTCTACTCTCTCTGCCTGCCAAAATTCTGAGATAGTTGTTGAAAAGAAGAAGCTGAAGAAGGAGGAAGAGGAGAAGGAAGAAGAGGAAGAGGTGAAAGAGGCAGAGGAGGAGGCAGTGGAGGGAGAAGAAAACAAAGAATGAGCATAGCAGTGAGGTTTGGTTTTTTCCCTTCCGCATAGATTCGCCACAGACCACAGAAAATCAGAGAGCAATGCCTGGTCCTGCCAACCTTTCTTACCCTACTTTAAATAGATTAAGATTGGTCCATAAAAGCTAGATTATGTGGTATATAAGTGTGTATATAAGTTTATGGTAGGCATGTGCATACCTGTGCATCTGATTCCCAATGCTTTTTGTGGAAATAGATTGTTTATAAATATATAATATTAAGAGTAATTACATGTGAACATATTTTCATGTATGCTATATAATTTAAAAATTGCCAAGAAGTGTATGTGCTCCATGTAAAAATCTGTTTCCAGTGAAAGACCTGTAGGCCTTATTTATCTACAAAGAACTAGAAATCTATTTGAAAAGGACTCAAATTCGTTAAGATTAACTTAAGCTAAGCAAATAAATAATCCCTTGCTCAAAGGAGAATTTACGCAACCATTTTAGTAAATCATCAATACAAGAGTCTCAAAATCAGAGCCACCTCACAAATAGGTTATTTAAAAAACACTACATCTTTATCATGTTTAGTCAAAACCATAATGTGATTTCATTTTTGTATAAATAAATATTCTTGAATCTTTGCTTAATTAAAAAAAATAATATACTTATGTGTCTGACCAGGAATTAGAAGTAAAGTTTTGATTATTTACCTAATGATACAGTTATTTAATTGAAGGTAGCTGTCTTAATAGGGAGCCTTACTTTAGCAAATGCATTTACTTAGCTGATAAAAATCACATTTGTGCTTTTGTTTCTAACTTTAAGTGATATTCAAATGTCTTTTTAACAGATAAATAGCTCTTTATGTGGAAATGAAAACTGTAGATTGAAAATGAAAATGGTAATAGAATGCTATTTTTAAGAATTCTGATTACTGATATGCATGAAATACAATATATGTGGCCTAGAAAATAAATATTATTTTAAAATGTTCCAGTGATGTTTTATGTCAATGAACTGTGCCTCCCCCCACAAAAAAACCCAAGATACTAAAAATGGGCATCAAAAAGTTTATTCATGTTCCTAGTTGCTAGATAAGTATTTTCATACTCCCATATATACATGGCATGAATTTTTATATACTGTATTTATGGACAAAAAATAAAAATATGTTAGTACGTTTCAGCTGGTTTCATGTGATTATTTTCACCTTTAAAGAGCAATCTAAAATGCTTGATAATCATTTTAAATAGATATATCAGTGAGTCAGAAGATTAATTTTCTATCACAGTAAAATAGTCCATTCAAAATATTTTCTCTTTACTTACTATAGTTTTGTTTTCTACCCAAAATATTTCAGAAATAACATATAGTTTTAAGAGAGGTAATAGCCAATATTTTTAATTTTTTCAAGGCAATATAATCAGTTTTAAAATTGAAGAAAGGTTTTAGGGCTCCAAAGTTTTAATCCCACTCTTTTTTGTCAGTGATCCACAGAATTTTAAATTTAGATGATTTTCATTTATTTCAAAATTTTGTAGGTCACAAGAAAAGAGAGACAGAAGTTTTTTTCTTTCTTCTTTCCTTTCCTTTTCAAAATATATTTTCAAAAAATATATGTCTTTTGTCAAATAAAACAAAATTTATAAATATTACTTGTGAATTCAAGGAAAAAGTGATTCAAAGACAAAATATAAGAGATGATTGTGAAGGCAAACACCACATGATCTCACTTCTAGGTGGAATCTAAAAGAAAGAAAGTGTGGATTGCAAATTTCATATCTTGTGTCTTATAATGGTGAAAACTATTTTCACTGTCCAAATAGCTTACTCAGTAATAAAGTTTTCAAAATTTTTAGTGAATATCTCATAGAAACCATTCCTTAATTTTAGTCCTCAAATATAACTATTCAAAACTACCAGAGTAAAGGAAAGTTTCATTTTGCAACACCCCTAAAACATTTGTAGGAATAGTCCCTCCAGAGTAGATCCCATATTCTGTATGGAAAGCCTTAGGACTGTGTAGCAGCATAGCGCAGGGAATGGACTTTAGGAAGAACAGATTCCAAAAGGGGCAGGGATGTGGGACAAGCCCCTGGCTGCCTTCTGAAAATTCTCTCCTTTTAGGTTTCCATAGCACCTTTCCATAAAGAATTTCAGGTTTATATTCCACCTCCATTTAAGTGCTCTATTTCTGTGAAGTAGGGATGTAAATTTGACATCACTTTTACTGAATTGCTACACAGGGTCAGATACGGAGATTCCTAAAGTCATCAATTCAGTCAGTGGAAGCTAGCAAAGAAACTTGAGGGTTCTTTTTCCTATAACTTCCCGCCCATTAAATGAACCAAATTTAATAATTCAATGTATATTCTAAGCTATGTGCTCTTGAAGACAACAGGAATGTATGGATAGTTTTTATGATACTTATTCTATATGATTTGAACATACGCCCCCTAAAAAACTCCTTGAAAATTGTCATTTTCCCTGGTCTGCTGTTCTCCAAAGAGTAGAAAACATAAAATTGCTTTTCTACCTCTTAATAGAAATCCCATGTATGGTGAGCACTGTGAATTGTGCAAGACTGTTGAATCACAGATCTGTACCTCTGAAACAAATAATGCAATATATGTTAAGAAAAAAAAGAAGAAGAAGAAGATAGCAGG